GGCGGATCTATTATGTTCATCCAGACGTCGGATTGCTGCACACTTGGACCTCTGGATTACAGCCTGTTTGTTACAGCACACAAATGCATCATTAGATGGTCTTGCTCGATTTTGTGTGAAACATTTCCAACGTTTCAATGACCCATTGACACGCACTCAGAGCGCACACAAACTCACCAAACGACTCGAATCACTCCCTCATGTCTCCGCCCAACAGTTCGGATCAATCGTCTGCGACCCCGGTAATAAAATTATCTACAACGCACAACCCCTCGTGTTCGTACCGAATCATACGAAAAGGAGTTGTACGGTACGAAACACTTTACCTAGGCTCGGAGAACTGCGTGTCATTGAAAGTGCTGAACGACAATCGCCGATTGTTGACCTACATTTCATTCAACGTCCGATACACAAAAATCATCTCAAGAATGATCAACACCAACAAGATAGTAACCTGCATCCTCACCACCGTCAGCAACCGGGGCTTATTGAAGATTCAATACCAAATACTCAAAAAATCAACTCAGTTCATGACACTAATAATTCGCACACTAAAGATGCTCAAGAAACAGACGCTCAAGAACCAGGTGTTAGAGAACCGGGTGTAAAAGTTCCGGAGGCCAGTAGATGTCCAGCACGGGATTGTTATCCGGACCGTCAGCAGCTACTGGCTGGGGCTAGTAAATGTGACGACGATCAGATTCGAACCGGCGCCCAATCGGTTCGAACCAGCCAGCAGTCGAACCCGGCCACTGCCAGCCCTCCCGCCAGTGCCGATCCTCCGGCCAGTGCCAGCCCTCCCGCCAGTGCCGATCCTCCGGACGGTCGTAGTCCCTCGGAGGACTGCTGGTGGAAGTCATGGGAGAATTCGCTTAAGGACTGCGGAGTGCTCGAATTCTTCAGCCCGGAATCGATATGAACCTTCATGCTCCACTCAGCTTGTTTGCCAAAGGGTGAGGGATCGGTGAAAGATCGGTGAGGGATCGGTGGCCGTCAGATGCAACACCCTGATGTTATGTCACTAGGTTATCCGGTCAATCCCGCAATCGACCAGTCCCCCGTTCAATCCCTGGCGGCCGACAGATGCTAGGTCACCCACCAGCTGGGAGACTTACTGGGGTCGGTGGAGACGTAGTGACCTACCGTCTGGGATTAACGGTGCCAGCCTGGCGCCCGACTAATGATTGGTGCCTGCGTCTGATGTGATGAGCCGTGCTTTTCGGACCTCGCTGCCATGCCCGGGGCGTGGTGGCATTTTCAAGAGAAAAATTAGAATGTTCCCCGCGGTGGGTGGTGGGAAAGGAATACAGCAACGTTGTTTGGGACTGGTCCTAGCAGGCGTCGGTGCTGCAGGTGGTATAAGTGAGATGGATTGGTTTGGAAGTTTTTGGCGGCCACTGAAGGTCGACGAATTTGAAGCGATAACGGGACAGATGCCGGCGGAGTCGTGGAAGCGTGTGACGCAGTGGCGCTCTCTCGCGAATCAACTCAAGGCTTCGGACTCCAAGTTCGACCCCGCGCTGTGGACTTGGATTGGTTGTGAAAGAAAATTATACGCTCTCTACACCCCGACGCTGCCGAGGCTGACCACCTTCGGGGACGAGTTGTTCCGCTGGAACGCGAACGCCGGCGCGGGCTCGGATTTGAACGCACGCGTGGAAACAGTCCCGGGTGCGGACCTGCCAGAGAAAAACGCGTCGAGTCGTGGAGCGAGGTTTGACTACGATGCATACTGCAAGCTGCGGAGTACGTTGTCGGAGACGGGGTGGAAGAGTCTGCGACGAGTAACGCCGGCTGCCTTCGATAAGTGTAACCTGGCGTACGTGGAAGTGGGTGCGGCGATTTCTGAGTGTTTCGAAGAACCGTACGGCGCGGTGGACCCGCAGGTGCGCAAATCGGTAGTGGGAAAGCTGGGGTGCGGGCTGCAGTCGGTGCGGCTGCGGAATTGGCTGACGGGGTGTTTGCTGCAACATGCTGAAGGTTCACTGACAGACCTGGCGGTGTTTTGCGCTCACGTTCTCAAATTCGCGCCACTGTCGGGCCGTATCCGTGAGCCCGGTGGGCTTCACGATCCGGTCGCCGTTGCGGAGGCCCATCTTCAGGTTGGCCTCCGCTGCAAAAAGCTCGAATGTCTACGTGATGGATATCTCAAATTCGACGAGTACGCGGAACGCTTCGATTCCGGTGACGAAACGCGGTTGGAACTCTGGAAGCAACGGCTTGCGAATCAGCCGACCGTTTCCGTGAGTTCCTTCGGCGAAATGCAGCAGCCAAAAAACGACAAGCCGCAGCTCCTCCCGCCGTCCCCGGTTCTGAAAGCTGGTGGCGTGGAAGAGGCCTGGGCGTCCCGCTATTGGGACCTGGTCAGTCCCGAAGAACATGCATGTCTCTCCCGCTTGGTCTCACCCGTCCCTGAGCGACGCCGCGAGGCCTGGCGGTCAGTCGCGTTACGTCTTTCCGCAGTTGACCCGGGTCAAGACGGGACGGATCGAGTGGGGACGTCGGACTTGGGGACGTCGGACTTGGGGACGGTCGGTTGGACGATGACCAGATCAAGGGGTGGCGAGCGGCCCTTGTACATACCGGAGTTGGGTACAATGAATGCACCTGCTAAAGAGCTCGGGTATTTCTCGACTGGGTACGATGGGTACTGTGCTTTGTACAACTTGCTCGGAAGAGATAATTGGGCCAAGCTCCGGACGATCAAGCCCATCCATTTCAAATCGTGCAAGGAGGGCTACCTCAGGCTGGCTGCAGAGTTCCACCAGTGCTTCGTCGCCCCTTTCGGAATCCTCGACGGTCACGGCGTGACCTCGCTCACGAAACAAATGAGGTGCGACTACCGAAGTAAGCACTTTGTGAATTGGGTCAGTGGTTGTCTTTTGCAGTACACCGCGATGCCCTTCGACAAGCTCGTCGAGTTCTGCCACACACACTTCGGGATGACCCTGTTGGATGACATATCTTTGGAGTCCCTGCCTGCGCAGTTGAAGGCCACTGCAGAATCGCTGTCCCGCTCACCGATCATCTCAGCCGATGAATCCCGCGAATTCCATACGTTACACCGATTGCCCGCTTTTAAACGTGGGCATGGAGCCGAAGAAAGCGCAGCCAAAAGGCATCACACGGACGGCGGTTCGAATCTCGGACCTGTCCTTGAAAACCCACCCGTCCATGTCCCTCAAGGTCAACACCTTCAAGGTCAACA